CCCCAGTCAGATTTGAATATAACACAATTCTTTGCGAGCCAGCTTCACATGATGATTAACGAAGAATTTAGGTCAATAGTAAGCTTTTCAATTTATTTCCTAGAAATTCATTGAGTAGCGTTATCATCTAATCTTCATCTGTTCACTTCAGAAGATTTTATAATGGGTGTTCCCTTTTGTTAACTAGTTGCTTATTTCGTTCTTATTCTCTCAGGTTCAGCATCTTATCGATCCTACCTCTCTTGGCTCCTCTACCGATGACGAAGTTGATCAGAATGGAACGCTTATGGGGGACTCGTCCGCCTTCTCAACACCCACTAGACATGACCATTTTCATCACACCGCTAACACAAACTCCTCATCTCCCATCCTACCCGATCTTGTTCATACTCTCATCCATCGGCTCTTGCCCTCAGCACGTCAACGAGTTTGTATCTATTCAGCTGGGGTAGCTGGTGATATTTGTCAAGGCAATGCGGCATTTATGAAGATTCTTTTCAGTTTACTTCTCCTGCACTCCTCGTCGGCTGACTCTCACAATTCCGGTAGGCTCTTATTTTTTTATGGAACTATTAACGCAAAAATACGGTACCCGAAAGTAGTAATAGTTTACCGTTTGAAGGACTTCTACTTTATTGGAACAGTCGAGTTCTTAAATAATTGTGAAAGCAAGGAAGGGAGCGTAATGCTAATTATCTAATGAAAATATCCGTAAATGTATACAAGATTATCATTGGCCAATATGGCATTTATAAGATCAAAATTTTTGAGCTTATTGAATGTTACGCTCAGTAGAATTAGTTAACCTTGACTTAGACAGAGTTTGAAAATATCAATTTCTCATCAGTTGGTTACTCCTTAGCCCATGGTGAGCATACAGGAGTAAGATCCTCTAAATAAATTTTGGATTCTACAAATATACTAAAGAAAAGGAAATGAAAATTCGATTTTGAACGTTTTCTGTTAGCTTGTTAGCAGAACAAAGAGATTTTATCTATGTAGTAATACAGCCAATCCGATTTGTTAGTGCGATTATAAGCATTACTCGTTTGGGTTCATTATGGTGGTCCCACATGTGTCACTTCTTTTATATTTATACTTGCGTAAGATTAAAGCTCTATTTCAATCTACTTGACTAATTTCTCCTTTTAGGCACCCTGATTGAGGATGCTGTTCGACAGGCCTCTTTAATCAGACCCGAGCAAAGCAATTCCTCAGCCATGGAGGTATTGGCTGCTCTTGAGCCTTTCATTTATCGTTTTTTCGACGAAGATGAGGAAGACGATGAAGAGGAATTCGATTCTTATCCCTCTTTCAGTGGTGAAGTTAAAAACAACAATGTGCCGTTAGCTTCTGCAGAGCGATTACTCCGATTTAAAATTCTATCTTTTAACCTAACCCCACAACAACGCCAACTCCATGACCAACTTCTGCTCGGTAGGGCGTAAGTATTTGAATTGTATTTTAAGAAGTTCCATTCGCTCTTTCTACGTTTATAAGTAGTTTAAATCGAGTTGAATTTACAAACACGTCTTTTCCATATCTCTGTTCACTGTTATTCTGTTCATAGCTTGGTATTCATAGATTTAAAACGAACTCCTAGATTTTGCAAATGAATTTCTTGAATAAGACTTTAGGAATCATCCGAGTATCATCATTTATACTCAATGCTTAATATGTCACCATCAACTTTTTTAAATAGTTTCACTTTTCTCTCAACAGCTGTACACGTGCTTCCAGATCAGGTCACCTCTGTGACCTTTTGACCTGTCTCTCAAAGGGAGTTCGTCTTTGTTTGCACCCATGGCTCCTCGTTGATAGCGATGAGGCTGAACATTGGCTAGCTCAGGACCGAGAACCCTCTCCCTATCCCCCATGTCCTCTAATACGATTTGACACTCCTTCAGGTCTCCTCGCAGCATTGCATAAAGAAAGTGCTGAAAAATCTCTTCCTATCCCACTGCTCTCCACGACCCTTCAAGAGAAGACTCATATTCGAAAACGAATCGTGGAGTTGCTTCCTTCCTCAGAGCATTTGAAAAGCGCTTTGGCGAGTCCGAGAACCAGCGCCGCATCGGTGCAACTTGGAAAGAGGCGAGGGGGAGCAGCTTCAATTGACAATAGTGGTTCACAGCTACCGAAGAAAAGGGCAAAAATGGAAGGAGTTGATGCCGTTGAAGAACAATGTGATGCTTTTATCACGGAAGAAATCTATCGAAATGTTCTCTTGGAAGAAGGAAAATCATCTTTTAAAGCCAAAAACGGTTCGTAATGAATGCTTCAAACTATCTTTTTGACTATGCTTAAATTCTTTATATTGGTTAAATTGCATTGCTGCTGTAGTGTTCAGTGAAGGTAGGGTAAAATACGATTTTCTTCTACCAGAATGAATTTGGATAACATTTTTTTTCATTTTACTTTTGCAATCCTAGTGTCTAATAGTGTTATTAATTTTTTTTATAATTTAGGAATTAAATATTTACGCTTTGTATTTTATTTTAATTTAGAAATGAATTATCTCAACTTGCGTGTGTTTATTATTCGATTCTATTTCTCATTCTTTAGATTTTAGCATTGCTTCGAAAGTTACTGAACTCGAATCTCTTCCTTCTGTTCCTTCCAAGATTGCAATCGCTGATCAGTCTACCCTATTTAATCCCACTACCGATGGCAAAGTTAGCTTACATCTAATAAATTTCTCCATGGAGCTAAAATATTTGTCTTGAAATGCGTTTTATTTCTCATTTAAAAGACTCTTCTACAAATCTGTGAATTACGGTGTCGACACACCCGACTTGAGTTGGAAGACAAAGCAGATTGGTGTAGTTCCTCTACAATGGACTACATTCAACAATATTCCCGAATTCCATCCCTCTTTCCTTCAGGCATTCATGTTTTTCCCGTCCTTCCGTTCATCGATTCGCCCACCTCGTCCACATCCAATGCGCTATGTCGAGTGGTATCTGACTGGTTTGATCATCTAAATTCATCCAGGTTAGTTTTTTGGGCATAAATTAAGGGAATCAAGTTGTCGAACGGTGGGATTTCACACATTCTTGTGTCATTCTTTTATCCAGTTCATCGTACAGTGTGCTATGTACTCGTGATAAGGCTGTTGGTTTACCGGTTCACCTAACAGAAGTTTCTCCGGAATCTCTCCCGGAAGCTCTGGGCCCTGTAATCGATCGATTATATCCTTTTTTGCCTCTTTCTCGGTGGATTTCTCCTCACACTACACCCCATCGTCTTCCCCAATTCCTTGCCGCTTCTGGTTGGTTGACTGACATTGGTTGCTTTTTTTCTTTTTGCTTCGAGTACATTTTACGAATTGTATAAGTAGCAGATAATTCAATTGAGCGCCAAGCTCATTATTTGGGGTGGGGACCTCCTTTTATGTAGTTTAAGCTTTTGTAATTGCGATATAAGAGCTGTTCACTATTTTCACTCTACCTTAACTAATTGCATCGTTCCGAATTTCCATCGGGCTGAAATTTCTCCAGAATCCGCGTCAATATGCGCAGCGTTTTAAAATTACTCTGAAATTATTACATTTTTAACCTTAAGTTCGTCTTAAACATCCAAAAGCCAGGCTTTGACAAAGCTTTTATCAATTTGTTTGGATAAAAGAAAACAATAATCATTTCAATCCGCTTCTAATACAGTGATCAAATTCTTTTCCAATTGTAATTAAGATGATGTAATACTTAGAATTGCTTTTTGGTCTTGATGTATGTGTGAATTTAGCGATCATCTCGATTTCACCTCTAACACTTCTCTGTTTAAGGCACAGCGGAGAATAATTTGTTATTAGTTTTTATTTTGATAATCTTCCTAATATGACTTCTTATAGATCTTTGCTTACTATTTATTTCCACTTTTAATCATTCTTTTTTAGGTAAAATTCAACGACTTCGAGATCTTCTCTTAGATTTCGTTCGATCTTCATCCGAGACTGAGTCAAATCAATCCTCCACTACCACCGCTCCCATCTCCCGACCTCGGGTTATTTTCATTATGAGCCACTACACCGCTTTCCTTGACCTACTGACCACCTGGCTCTCAGTTGATCCAGCTTTCTCCTGTCTTACTCGAATTCGAGCGCCGATCGATCATTTAGATGCTTCCAGTAGAGGGCAGTGGTGTGGTGAAGATATGGCCTATTACTCCAACGATATTGGTGCTGGGTGGATAGAGCTAGTGAATGATTGGCCTTGTGGTACCAGAGGACCGTTAATTGTGTTAATGCATGGCAGGGCTCATTTCCTATCGGTTGCAGGGTTGAAAGCTGGTCCGGATACAAGAGTAGTTCTCTGCGATGCGGATTGGCGGCAAGAAGTTCACGCTCTGGTGAAGTCAAAGTAAGCACTAAATCGGCAACCAAATATTTCTCATTTATGTCTGCCGGCATTGAGGTGGAGGGAGAGTAGTAGTGGACTTGTTAATCATGGAAAGGCATATCACTATACTGATAAATTTTGTTTGTTAATTAGTAAACAAAATTTTTTCTGTTTGTTTGAATTTTGTAGGAACACTCGAAACCTTACACTTATGACCTTCCCTCGTATCGCCTTTCTTTCACGATTTTCTAAAATATCAATGATTTGTGCGGCGGTGGCTTGTCATTTTGATGAATCAACCATTTTCTATTACGTAAACTGGCATTTTGCTTCTTATTTCTGTTGTAGTCTTCTCAGTTGTTAATAATAGACTTCGTCTCCAACCATTTGGCTCCTTTCAAATCAAATATAATGGCTTACTACGCGTATATCCAAGCAAATTCATTGAGTGTAAGAAGGGTTAGCCATGTCTTAGCTTAGGGTGTGGATTGGTTGTTAAGTTATGGGGTAACCACTGTTTATCCTAACTAACGTTTTCTGGAACAATCCACTTTTTGAACCCAGTAACAATTAGGAGTAAAGTGGACGAATTCTTTATTGACTATGCACGTATTTTAGCACCCCCAATTGTTATAATGGGAGAGTTGATGCGACAACATCCAAACTTTCATCCAATTCAACTTACCGATGGGTGCTAAATGCGATTGAAAATTATTTTGCCATGAACATACGAATCTGGGGGGGGGGACCAGATGTAACCAGGAATTTCCATACGTCATCACCATAATTCTTGTCGTATCGAATTTATCTCAACAATCGATTTTTTATTGACCGATTTAATTCTTTTAAACTGAAATGGCACCTGCGGATTAGAAACAAATTACGATAAATTTCAAGCCACTTTTCAAGAAGAGCTGCAATAATATGAAGTATAGTGCTCATAAATTGTGTTTAACAATTTGTTTTTTTCATGTAAACGTCTTATATTGTTGTACTGTACACAAATTGAACTCGTCTAATTTTTGTTGATGCTTTAATTTAGTAGGCGTTCTTGTTCTTAAATGACTCATGCATTTACATTCACCCGCTAAGGCAATGTGAATTTCAATAAACTACTAATTTCTAGCTTAGAACGTAGACGCGCAGCCTCCTCATTGGCTACTATTCCACCTTTGACAGTCCGGTCTAATTCGGAAACTAACTTTATAGTTTAACGCTCTAGTTTCAATGCTGGAAAGTTAGGCAAACGAATGTTACTTCTGTCAATGAATAATTATTCAATATTTTGCATACTTTCATTTTCTTCTTAACACATCGCCTTTGCAGAATCTAGCTTATTTTCATTAAAAAAATTTAAGGAAAGGAATGTTAGTAATCACGCCTTAAAAGACGAATGTTTTGTTTGCCTATTCACTTTTGTATTTAAAGTTATTGGCAATTGCCCTATAATCTGATATTTTCCACTTTCTTGCCAGCTGGGCACTTAAAACACTCGGTGTCAAATTGTTCTTATCTGAATAAATAAATAAATGGTGTGAAACGTTATCTTCGAATGAGTGTTTCTCAAGCTGATCAAAGCAATTGTTGGCTCTTGACTTGGATAAATGTCTGACATTGTAAAGTTGCCCTTATCAGAGACTTGTGATCTAATGCCCCTTCCGTACAACAGAATTAACAAGTGCAGTCGATCCACCATGCAACATCGATGGGCATCAATCTCGTTACTTATGACAAGACAGACTTGCACACTGACCACCAGTACACCATTTTAAATCAATTTTGATAGAACAAGATGTGGTCTCTATTATTATCTTTTGTTGGAATTTTAATTTCAAACCTTGGAAACACTGTTAATTGGTAATGATTTATGTTTATACTCATTAAGTTAATTCATTTGTTTTCTCAAAATCCCCAGGTTGCGTTGCTATTCAATTAATGGACTGGTTGACGTCCCACCTCAAGTTCGCTACAATAACAGCTCCTCCTCTCATCGTCTTCCAGTCTACCGTCTCGTTTCCGAATGGGACAGTGGTGAGAGTATGGAAGCACGTCTTCTTAACTCCTCCGCCATCCACCTTCTTCCTGATTCGGTCTTCAAGACAGTCGCGAACACGTCCTCAAATTCATTTGATGCAGATGTTACTATCGGTTCTAGATCTCGTCTTAGTGCTACCTCTGGCATCGTTTCTCCACTCGCTTCGTCAACATCTTCAAGGGTGCAACCAAATGTTGTGAAGGAGCTCTTTTTCAAGTTGCGTCGTCGTGCACAATGGAGGGCGGCAGGTGGAGAGGCGTCTACTGGAATACCGATGCCGTCAATGGAATCTGATGGAGGAGAAGAGGAAGTGACTACACAGGATGAGGAATCCGACAATGCGTCACTGTTTCATAATCGGGAACCTGTTCAGAAACAGATGGTAAGATGTTTTACTTAACATAAGATATTATTTGACAGCCTCAAAGTATTTAAATAATATGGATATTAGCAAAAAATAATCTGTTTTTTGAAAACTGATGTTTGAGTTCAATTTGTGTTGGGATCTGGTTACGGAAAAATTGTGTAAGAATTCTTCATGGTAAACAAACTGTTCGGGTTTATTTATGATCAATATGATAACGCTAGTTGGAATGAGTAGGGGTTAGCTTCTTACCAAGCATCCATACCCTAAGGTATGATTTAGTTAACTCTTCTGTTAATTTTGCTAGATATATGTGGAGTATTCCGTTATGATTTACTAAAGCCGAACGAAATCATTAAAATCGAAGTTATCGAAAAACTAAGTGAACAGTGAGTAAATGTTGTAAATGGGGTGGAAATGAGATGGTAGAGTATTATATTGGTAATTTTTGAATAAAAATGTTTCAATATTTTTAAAATTAGCCATTTTTTATTTGTATAGAAAATGATACATTTTCAAGAATATTTATAATTACGAATTTTTAGCTTGCTTTAGAAAGTAAACAAAGCAAGACAATGTTCTCTCCTTTTTTGTTGCTGCTAATAAAAGGGCCAAATATATCCGTGAAAGCACAAAAGGCGAGGAAATTGTTGAGGAATGTTGTCGGTCAAGTCAGCGTATCGAAGAATTTCGCTTAATTCAATTTCTGATTTCGAATTATGGAACATGAACGCGTGATTCTTATTCCAAAATGCAGACTGTACTATTAAATTGTATTCTTTTATTCATTGCCTGATTATTTAATGGCTACGAGGCCATCAGTTTTGTAGTGGCTACTGCTAATAAGATACAACCGAAGTTCTCAGATTGGAATGCCAGAATTAACGAATAGGTCAAATTATGTTGGCCAACAGCAATGGCAGTTTGTGAAGATAAGAGAGAGAGAGATGGAGAGTAACAATAAGGCATGGGGAGAGTATGGGAAAGAAGTGATTGCGCCAAGGATCTACCATTTAGCGTGTGTGAGGGAGAATAGCTGTCATTGGGAAACAGAGGAGAATGTAAATGGATAGCTGGTATTTTTTGGTTGCGATTTCGATACGTGCTAGGGGGGGGGGGCAGAATTTCAGTTACTTCACTGAATTTTAAAAAGCTCTCAAATTGG